TGTGTGTGTGTGAATGGTTCTGCGGTGCTTGATGGGCTTGTTGTGTGATGCCTGCAGCTGTGTGTTGGGTGTGGGGCAGGGACAGATTTGTTGGCAGGCACTTCCATGGCTTGTTACATTGTTGTCGTGCGTTTCTTAGCGAACACTACGCGATGTTTACTGTGCATCTCCTTCTTTTTATGCATTGTTTACTTGGCTGTTTTCTTGTTGCTGTGATTGCAGGGGTGTGGCACCTAGCTGGTGGAGTGGGCGGTGTGGTGGCTTTCCTACGTTTCGCTCTTTGCTTTTGTTTGTCTCATTTCTGTGAGATCACAAATGACGATGGTAACAATGCGCTGCGTGTCGCTTGTGTGTGTGTTTTGTCTCCTGTGTGGGTGTGTTGCGAGTGCAGGTCAACCTGATAATACGTCTTGCGAGAAGAAGGAGGGTGGTGAATGTGTTGATTCCCGAGGTTCCAATGCACCTACTGATATTCTCCCTGGAGGAGGCCAAGGTCCTTCCACGTTGGGTGGTTCTCGGAGTGATGCAGCGGCTCTTGACACTGACGACAGTGGCAAACGTTGTGAAGAAAATTCTGATGCCCCAGAGTGCAAGAGAGTAACGAACTCTGTTAATATCAAGTCGTGTGCGCAGGCAGAAGATGGGAGTTGCTCACAGCTCTCTGTACCTGTTCCGCGTATTCCAGATGCATTGTCGAGTGTGCCTTGCGCGGGTGGTACGCCTGGACCTTGTCCTAAGATCGATCCTGTGGTGCCTGGTGGCGTTGGTGCTAATATCACTTCTCAGCCCACCCCTGGAGTGGCGCGGTGTAAGACGTCTCAAGATGTATCCGGTGAAGGCGAGGATTGTAAAGATGACGTTCTCCCTCAAAAGGCGCCTTCCCCTGCGCCTTCAGCTCTTCAGCATCGGACACCGGATTCTCACGATAAGACGAAGGCCACTGAAGGGATGTTACCAGTAACACCAGGACCGAGCCAGCAAGAACAACAAACAGTACTCAAGGGAGATAAAAAAAGCCCCAGCAATGAGGGCCATGAAGCTTCAACGAGCAATCAAGAAAACGGGCAACACAGTGACACAAAGCTCGCAGAGAAGGGCCAGCAGGAAAGCGCTGATCACTCTTTGGATAATCCCAAAGACGCTCCCAGAATTGACAGTGCGAAGAAGAGTGCACGGGATTCTGATACTTCTCCACCTGCAACAGATTTGGCTGAGGATGACAGCTCTTCTGTCAATCACACCAATGGGAATCCTGTTGAAAGCCCTGCTCGTACTGCAGACACGCAAGGTGATGTCGTGCAATCGCAGTCACCATCCGCCTCTACTTCTACGGGTTCCACGGAACCTACAGATAACAAGGTGAGCAACAGTCCGTCTACCGACAAGGACCAAGACACGAAGAATACGGACAGCAGCGTCAGTCCTGTGTGGGTGCATGCACCGCTGCTTCTGCTGGCGTTGCTTGCAGTGACGGCTGTGTGATGAGCATCGTGGACAATCAACATGCTTCGTCGCTCTGTGTGTATGTGTGCTGCGAGCTCATGGTGGATGTATTTATCCC